CCCATTCCCAGTTCCTCCCAGCGCTCCCAGTTCCCCCATCCCCACCTCTCCCTCCTCCGCCGCTCCTCCTCCCGCTCCCGCTGCTCCAGCGCGGCCTCCACCTCCCGGAGCGGCGGATCCCACTCGCGCTCCTCCGCCTCCGCCTCCCGGAGCCGCTCGGGGCTGGGCCACAGCCGCCACACCGCCACCCCCGAGGCCTCCCCGAGCCGCCCGAAGCGCCGCGCGGCCGGCCGCTCCTCCTCCCGCTCCCGCTGCTCCAGCGCGGCCTCCACCTCCCGGAGCGGCGGATCCCACTCGCGCTCCTCCTCCTCCGCCTCCCGGAGCCGCTCGGGGCTGGGCCACAGCCGCCACACCGCCACCCGCGAGGCCTCCCCGAGCCGCCCGAAGCGCCGCGCGGCCGCCCGCTGATCCTCGGGGTCCGGCGGGGCCGGGCCGGGCCGGCGGCGCAGCGGAGCCGCTCGGTAAAACCGCGCCGGGGCCGCGATCGGTACCGGGAACCGGGCCCGGGCCTGCAGCGCCCGCCGCAAGGGCGCCGCCATCTTTACCGCGAGCCGGAAGTGACGCGCCGGAAACGGCTGAAGGCGCGGGCGGAAATCGGGAGGGAAAAAGAAGGCGCGGGAGAAGTGGGCGGGGCTTGTGCGCGATGGGTGTGGTCGTGGGCGTGGCTAACGCTGTTGTGGGCGGGGCCAGGGCGGGGGCGCCCCAAGCCGGGGGTCGCGGGGGGACCCGGGGGGGATTCGGGGGGTCCCGGCGGTTTTGGGGGACTCCCGGAGCGCCCCGAGAGCGGCCCCGGCTCATCCCGGGGGATTTTGGGGATCCCGGCGTATTTTTTGGGGACCCCGAGGGATTTTTGGGGATCCCGGGGTATTTTGAGGATCCCGGGGGGATTTTGGGGATCCGGGGGATTTTTGGGGATCCCGGGGGGATTTTGAGGATCCCGGGTGATTTTGGAAATACCGCGGATTTTTTGGGGATCCCGGGGATTTTTTGGGGATCCCGGGGATTTTGGGGATCCCGGGGGGATTTTTGGGGATCCCGAGAATTTTTGGGGATCCCGGGGATTTTTGGGGATCCCGGGATTTTTGGGGATCTCGAGGGGATTTTGGGGATCCCGGGGAGGGTCCCGAGAGCCGCGTCCCCGGTGATGGGGGCTCGGGGGGTCACCCCCAGAACGGCTCTGGCTCATCCCGGGGGTCCCGGGAAGGTTTTGGGGACCCCCGACCCCGAAACGGCACCGGGGGGGGGGAGGGGAGGGGGCATTTTGGCAGCGCCCCCCGGGCTCCTCCCCGCCGGGTGGGGACCCCCCCCCAAAACCGCCCCGAACCTTTTCAGCCGCCGCCAAAGCCCGGGGCCGCTGCCAAGCGCCGTTAACCCCTCCGTGCCCGCCCCCGGGACCCCCTCCCCATCACCGGGACCCCCCCGCCGCCACCGGGACAACGGAAAAACGGGGAAAAACGGGGAAAAACGGGGAAAAACGGGGAGGGGGCTCCGCGCTCCCGGCGGGGCCCCTCGGGGGGGTCGCAGCCCCCAATTCCCGGACCCCCCGCCCGTTCTGGCGGGAGCTGCGGGGGCCGCGGAGGGGGGGGAGCCCTAATGGCTTCCAGGCCTCGGCAGCCGCCGAAAATCTGCGGCCAAACGGAGCCAAAATCCCCCGAAATCGCCCCAAAAGCTTCCCTGGGCCTCCCCCGGGGGGGTTCCGAGGGGCTGCGGGCCCCCCCTCG